TGCCTTTAACAGATTTGTCATCGGCGGCACAGTATTTCCACACCAGCGAATACACAAAGGTACATGGATTTCACCGGATCACACTACTCGGAACCAAATCGACCATATCTGTAACAATAAAACTTCTGGAGGACCGTGGAGGATGTGAGAACCAAGAAGAAAGCTGACACAGCGATCAAAAGCGGCAAATCAACAGGACAAGATAAATTTTCAGCTTAGGCAATGAGAGCAGACGTGAAAGCAACTGCAAAAATACTTCACATTCTCTTCAACAAGATCTGGGATGAGGAACAGTTATCATTAGATTGGAAAGAACGAAACTTGATAAAAAAACTAAAAATTGGTGATCTCAATATGTGTAAGAACTACAGAGGCATCATTCTTCTCTCAAAAAGATTCCAAAACTTCAACGGGGTATTGTTAAACCGATTGAAGGAATTTGTAGACGCCCGACTTCAAGATCAACAGGCTGGATTTCTTAAGAATCGAATGTGTACTGACCGAATCGCTACAATACGGATCGCTGTGGAACAATCAATTGGATGAAACTCACCATTGTACGTCAACTTCACTGACACCGAGAAAGTATTTGATAGCGCGCACAGGAAAACACTATGGGGGTTTCTTCGACACTACGGCGTGAATTAGAAAATAGTCAACGTCTAACAGAATTATTATGATAGAAACAAACTGCAAATTTTTCGCGGAAGTCGGCTGACAAACTGCAAAATCGTTCACGAAGGACAGCTGACGGACTCACTTGTGTTGAGGACCGCTGTCAGGCAAGGTCGCTCACTCTCCTCCTTTTCCTTTCTCCTGACGATCGACTGGATTCAAATGAAGACATCTGGAATAAAGGACTGTATTCATTGGAGAGCCAGGACGCAGTTCAACGATCTGGACTTCGTAGATGACCTGGCTCTTCTATCGCACACACAACAACAAATGCAAGAAAAGAACCAGTGTAGCAACGGCCCCAGCGGCAGTAGGTCGCAACATGCATGGAGGGTAAAGTAAGATTCTACGATGCAACACAACATTCGTCAACCAAATCACGCTTGATGGCAATTCTTTACAGGACGTTAACACCTTTACATATCTTGGATGCATCATCGACAAACAAGGTGGATCCGATGCCGATGTGAGGGTGTGGATTGGCAAAGCATGAGCTGCTTTTCTACAATTGAAGAAATCTGGAACTCCAAACAAATATCAATGAACACCGATATCAGGATTTTCGATACAAATGTATAGACACTTCTACTGTATGGAATGGATACTTGTAGAACAATGAAAGCCATCATCCAGACGATACAAGTGTTTATTAACAGCTGTCTACGCAAAATACGTAGGATTCGTTGGCCAGACACCATCAGCAACAACGTACTGTGGTAGAGACTTCCAGTGGAGGTGGGAAGCAGATTGACCACACGTAGGTGGTTAGGTAACACATTCCGGAAATCACCCAACTGATTCACAAGTCAAGCCGTCACATTCATCCTTCAGGGTCAAAGGAAAAATGGAAAGCCAAGGAACACTTTAACTCGAGAAATAACGAAAGACGTGAGAAGGATGAACGAAAATTGGAAAGAACCAGAAAGAGAAGGCAGAAAAAGAGTTGGCTGAAGAAAACTGATGGGCGCCCTCTGCTACATTCGGGGTAACAGGCATAAGTAATTAAGTATCTTATAACAGTTTTGGACGGCAATATATTAGTTAACAGAATCAGATATTGACTATTTGGTGTTGTATTCCACTCGCCCAATCATCTATGGTATACTCAATGGTATACTGGAAAATGAGGTGAATCTGTTCTCTTTCTACAATGCTCTCACATGGCCACATATGTATATAGCCGTAGTCAGGGAAGTCCTACTCACTGTCATCACTTGGCTCGCTTATTGATTACTAAATTCAGACGACGGCAGGTGAAGTATTGATGCTTGCACCAAGTTCGTGTGTATTGACGATACACTTGTGAGAGTAGGAAAAGCTTGATTCGGAACCATTGATTCACATGTTCTCTATGGCACTGTTCAAACGGAGTGTAAGATACTACACGCGCTCAACAGTTACATTTGGAATGCATCTCCAAGCATTGCACTTCTGCCCTAATGATTGGATTTAAAAATCGAACTTTCAAAAAGCGATTTTCTAAAGAAACCACTTTCATCAAGATAGGATTTCAATTCACTCAAAAATTCAATCATTTGTGCAACGAATAGGTAGGTGTCCGTTTTTCCCCTGAAATTCTGATAGAAACGAATTGTTATTTCGATTAAATCATTAAATCAGTTGTATTTAATTATATTGTGTACAACGTATATCGATGTCAGTTCCATAAAATCGTTTAAACAAGTAACATCGGTACATCCTTACTAATGATACGCTCTTCAAGTAATACAGATTATGCATAAATCATAATGCGTGATAAATCTTCCAAGTTCGAAGAAATCCCATGACACAGGAGGTTCGAGAATGTTGATTTACGTCCTGTGCCTCTTTGGAAGTGCGGCTGTTAGAGCAGGTAAGTATGATAACATTCAAACGTATCTGAAGAAAACGATGTTGTACTATCATGTAATCAAGTCATGAAGTTGTATGTAATGAATTTGCATTATCAGCTAACACCTTACTTGTGAATGAGTTATAGTAATATTAGTAATTTATTACAAAACAGCATTCATTTTCATTCGGTTTATTGCTCTTAACATTTCACTATTGCTTTTTCTAACTAAACTTATGATTTTTCTTTTACCTACGCCGTTCACTATTGTTTCTATTCAACTTTTCTTTGAATTCACCTTAAGGAAATCTCAATGTCACTCATTAGCATAACAGTGATTGGAAACAATACCGTTCTGACAATAAATGAAACAAAAACAGGTAAAATAAACACGTTTCAATTGAACAATGAACAAGTGTTACAGATGAATTCATGTATTACATTGTCCTCAATAATACTGAAATACGTCACGCACATGCTATTTGATTGAAATTACTTGTTAAAAATTGTAGAAAACTGTTCAATGTTACATGCAATAACAATGATACTGATCTCTGCTTTTGCATGAAATCAAATATCCTTGTTATTATTCTGTTAACTGACTACGTCATTGGAATATTAAAGCCTAAATATATATGTATATCTTTAAAATGGGGTGTAAGTATAATCATACTGACCATAAGACAAACGGTGTTAGTTGTTAACCTTACTGTAAATCATGAAAGTAGTTATGACAGATTCTTGTTATTTATAGTGAATTTCTCAATTCATGCCTTCCTTATTTGATGATTGGGTGAGATAAGTTGAGCTGTCCAATTACTCAACTATAAATTTATTTATTTACTTATATGATGGAAGAGTTAAAAATAAGCAATTCCACATCTACTGATGATGATGATGGTCAACTATATGCTGCATCAATTCTGTTTCATTCAATAACATCATTGCAATATGACGATATTCCACAAAAGTGAACTAAAAACTACCTGGGTTGCATTATTCTGTGTATTATGTAAGTGAATCAGTCTCGGTTTAATCATCTTTATTTCTATTGATTCAGTTTTGTATAGATTATGTGAGGAATTGACAACAGCTTGTGAGAATAATTCTCAGTAAGTGTTATTTTTCAACTGAATTATTGACTGCTTGTTTATAAACAGAAATAGACCATTTTACTATTCTGTGTATTAATTTTCATTTTGATCATTTATAATTGATAGACATAATTTATACTTTATAAATATCATAAATCGATCAATATGAGAATAACATTGGGATGAAACGTGTGAGCAGTAGACGGCCATTTCATTCTGTATGGGACTTGCCAGTAGTAAGTATCCAGGAACTCGCATTTGAGAACAGAAAAAATCACTTCCGCTATGGCTTGTGAACTCCCACTCAATGGTCATAAATGCTAATAACTTTCACTTCTGACTGTATCAGAAGCTGGATAATTTTTTCTTCAGACTGAATAGTATATCACTCACATCTGGTCAAATGTTAGCCAGCAGACCTCATACTCAATATCAACACTAAAAGAGGAAATTTACATTAGCCGAAAATGTATTGCATTGTGATTCATTTTGTCTAGAAAATGTAGAATTTTATAAGAGTATTCATCATATACGTGAACGATATGCTTTGAACAGACAAGTGAGTCTCAGAGTATATAAACAGTTCCAAAAAAATTCGGATATTGTGTGTGTTGCTTCGAGAGTTATGTACATAACGTAAGTTAATAATAATCGAATTGAATAGCTTTGATTGGTAATATCGTACCAAATCACTTGAATCTAAAATGTTAAGGTGAGCTGTGGTAATGAGAAAAATAATGATCACAAAAATACGCTAATTTGGTGGATTTTCAATTGGAGTTGTGGTGCTTTACAAGTTAAACGATGTATTTATCTACAAGAGCAAGGCTGAATATCATCGCACTGACGTTTTCGTAAATTTGTGAAAAAATCACTCGTACACCTATTTGTTTTGTTTAGGAACTGCGTCCATGGTCAATGCACAAACGGCATTTGTGTATGTAGCATGTGCTGGACTGGTGAAGCCTGCAACATACAATGTGAGTTATTATTTTTTTAATGGATGCTTCAATTAACGGCGATGTTTCTATTATCTTCATAGATAAAACGATTACAGTCTAATCTACATTTCATATGATCAGTTTGATTTCTAGAAAAAAACAGAATTATAAATTATATTTCAAACAAGATCATTATTAAATAAAATTTTGGCAAAAATAAAGATATGATGATAGCTTGATTTAAATAAAGGGATTTTTAATTTTATCGTTGGATTTAGCGTTGTACAAAATAAACCATTCAAATTTTTTATATTTATCATTTTAGTGCATAGGACACCCAAATTCACAAAAAAGACTTTCAATTTTGAAGTCGATTCTTCAGATTGGATTAATGGAGGCATCATTGGTCGTCTTTCTCTGGATGATGACAACTCTTCAATAAAGTCATGCGGAAATGTTATGTTCATTATTAAACAACCATTGACAAAATATTTACCTGTGGTTGTTGATGTGACAAGTGGTAATTTGAAAGTGAATAGTACTTATGAAGAAGTCAAGAATGAAACTCCATTTACCTTCCAAGTAACTGTCATGAATGCAGTTGAATCATTGAATATATCTGATGAAGCAGTGGTCACTATTTTAATCAATGAAAGGTATTCTGATCAGAAGACAGAAACAGGGAGCGCTGTTTTCGAGAGGGTATGATATTCATTCAGTATAATTATTTCATTTCAAACAACACTGCACTGGGTTATATAAAAGTCAGTAAACTACTAGGTAGATGAATAATTTCATCACTTAGGTCACATGTTGTTTTACCAATCGTTTTTAATTTTCCATGTTTACATTCTCCTATAAAGACAATGGACAAATGTCACACGATGATGCAGACTGAATTAAGTCAGATGTTTACACCATTGAATTCCGATTCATTGGTCTGCGATGCTAGGTAATCGCCACCAGACTGAAGCTCCTGAGTTGAAACTCGTGTGGTAGTATAGTGGATGCACACTGTTGCGGAGTACTTTATTAGAACGGAAAAACCCTAAACTGTTTCCTCGTTCTCATCAGTCGTTTAGGTTAGATTGGTCTATGAATTCAGGAAACGTTTACTTGAAATATTAACAACAATAATTCCCAATTTATCCTAATTTAAAAACTGAATAAACTCTGCTGAATCTGGTACTGCAAAGTGTGAACATCTTTTATTTGAACAAATATTTCGCTACAAATTCAAAAAGATTTTAACTGACTTATAATGATTCGTGTTTTAACGAAGAAACAGCTTTATTAGTTCACTCAACGTAACAAAATACAATGCGAATGATTCACGAAATAGATTTTTCACTGAATACATGAATTTTCATACCATATATTGATTGTGGTAAAGAGGTGAACTGTTAACATGTTTTGAAATCGGTTCTTCAATTTAAACATAAATCAATTAATTATATTATTGTGAATATATGGATGATAGCCAAGCCGTTTGTTTAAAGTTTTTTTTATTGAAACACAATATGTAATTCCCAAGAGCTCATGAACATTTATGCGCTACACAAATCAATAAATAAATACTGACGGAAACATTTAGTTTTCAATATTGAGTAATCAAAATTATATATGCGTAATTTGATCGATGTTGAATGAAGCATTTATTTGCATCCTACACACACTTCAATGTTCATTATTAGTTCTGAATAGTACGTAAATGATTAAGAATAATAATAGTTATATCTTGACACAATGAGTTCGTTTTATGAATTTAAATGAAATCAGTATGATGCGTAAGGTGGAATAATGTGAATTAAACACAGTCTTTTCCCATTACCATCGTATTTGTATCGAGATTCAATATGACATTGCTGACTATAAAGTTGTGGATACGAACAACTGATCGTATTGTTGATAGCTTAGGGAACGAAACTTTACCATAATATTCCACAGGAGTTTTACATTTCCTTTCCCATTTCACACTGTTTATATGCACATGTGTAAAAAAATATTAGTGAATATGTTCATTGCTATTCTAACATTCACCAAGTTTTCATTACATTATACTTTGTTCTATAATTCAATGCAAATGTAGTTTTGATTAACTCGGACGAAACTGTTAAATGATATTTATCTGGATTAATTGGCATTCAAAGTCTTAATCTATTAAAGATTCTTATTATCGTCTATAAAATATTCCCACCAACAAAATAGAAAAGGCTCCTATCGTGAATCTTAGCACAACACAGTTTTCAATTAGATCGTCATCAGGATTTATACTCTTATATATATGAATGCTGGTATGAAAATGTTAGACTAATCACTGATTATGAGTCAACAATCACAATGAAATGGATTACGCAACTACAAAAGTACAAGTTGATAATAGAAAGACAAGTGTACTGATTGAGGTAAGAATAATAAAATACAATAACAAAAGTTTCTGTCAACATGTCAACTTTGCAAGTAGTAGTAGTAGATCAAACGTGGAGAAATAGACAAGAAATAATGATCGTGAAATTTGATGACAATTACGTAACAACATTTTCAAATCACCATTAAAGTAAGGCATGATGATTAGCTAAATAAAAACAATAATTTTGTTTGCTGTGTTGATCGAATTTCAACAGGATAAATATCTACAAATTTGTAAAATTCATATATTTTATAATACAATGAAATAACACAAAGTAAGAGCACATTTTTTTGAATAAAAAAATTTGTTTGAATGCTATTCTTAGTTAATGTTTTGATTATTTAGGCCTTCATAAATCCACCAACGAATATTGATGTGAAATTTTATCGAAAATATCCTACAGATAATCCAAATTACTGTCTTTATGATGAATGGTTTATTGATATGGTGATGATATTACCACCAGGAAATCACAATTTATTGATCAATTTATTTGGTCCATCATTCAATAAACTGTATTATGGATACATTGAATATTTATTTGTTTATTATAATGGTACAAATATAATGAATAATTATTCAATTCAGTTTAGTAATTTCATATATTTAGGGAATAATTCTATGGTATGTTTTGATAAACACTTTGATTTTATTAAGATATTATCATTTCAATGTTTCAGTTGCACTTTTTAATCTATTGTGGTGACGTTTTGTTCTCTGAAATAGATGTTTTAGTTGTGAAGCCTTCATCATTGTTCGGATTCTGAACGACATCATGATCAGCTGAAACATCAGAGAGAGAAAAGGCGTTTTCACAATCATCCAATTAAGAGACGAATTTCCCTCACTGTCTTATTAACTTATACGCATCGATGAAAGTATGTGAGGTTGCACAAGACCTTGCATTGATTGAAGTTTTACATTGACATCGTTGTATGCCGACTCAGTGGTCTAGAAGTTAGGCGTTCACAATTGAGACTGTACGTCCCAGGTTCGATTCTCATAAGTAGACGTCGTGACTGAGCATTACTGATGGGTCCCATACTGAGACAAAGCCCTTTTTCCAGTAAAAATAAATTTCTAATTGTCTAATTGTAGTTTCAATAAAGTCGTGAATTCATTGGATTTCATTTAAAGATGTGTAAATAATCACTGACATGTAGTACCGTTTTGATACAAAAATATTTCAACCATATTATTGATTTTACTCAATATCTACACAAAAGAGAAAATCTAAATTGATTAAAATGATCAAATTTTGAACAATTTGTCGACTTAACAAAATGTTCTTTTCAAAACAATGGCACCAATCACTCTTCTGCTGTAGTATTATCTCACCGATACTGTTTAAGTCTGCTAAGACTTATCGGTCGTAATATACAGATCAGAGATTTCGAATCATATTTTCTCTTACCTGATAAAAACATGATATGTGAAAATTATCATGGAAACACATAACGATAAGCGATTATATATACCATAACTTAAAATCCATTCGTTAAACAGATTTTATTCACTTAACCGAAGCTGTAATAAAATGAAATCGACTTGACAATCTGAATGTGTCAATGCTTAGTAACATTACAGTGGGAAAATGATGGAATATCTTTTATTCAGTGTATTATTTATCAAAACAATTCCACAGTTCACCTCTTTCAATTGATGTTTTTCTCAGCCTGCAGTGTACACAATGTTGGCTCAGTTTAGCGTTTCATCTTTTCCCTCTAATAATACGGAAGATTTCAGTATCAAGATGAGATTCAAAGTTGGTCTTTCTCGGGAAAAGCCGATTCTTCCTACAGGTACCAGTTTAATTATCAAAATGGAGGCATTAGTAACTCCGAAGATTACTATGGAAATTTCCATGATAGTCACTACAACTTGTCCAATACAATCCGACCTCATCACTTTCGTAAATTGCCCTGCAGTAGTGTATATCGGTGGAGTCTATGAATATACGATGGATTATTTTATAAGTAGACCTTTTGGAGATTACATAGTAAGTAATCATGATGACGCTTGAATAAATTTGAACGGAATATTGTTTTTCGGTCTATTAACAACTAAGTATTTATTTGAAGAAACTAGTTTACCCACTTAAAATGTCTACAATCAATATTTCGTTAGTGATGCATTACCCGCTAAAATGAACTGTATATATTTTATTGTTCAAATTATCCCCGTTATTTCTGCTATTTTTATCATTCTAATAATGACATGGTTAAATTTCTGATGGCCGAGGATTGTGCCCTTCCTGCATGCATCAGAACTTGTTCATCTGTTAAGATTTTATAATTTTTTTTGAAATATTTAAAATCTCGAAAGTTCTAAATCGATTCTGTGAAAAGCAAAAATTATTCACGTTTTTAAATTTGACTTGGATTAGTGATTAGTTGTATAAGTTTGATATCTACTTCCCATACTTGTTTTTTGAACAGATGTGGTATGTCAACTGATAGATTTTTAAGATCAATTTCAAACTATCAACTTCATTATAAATGAAATCGAAGTGATTTCCTCTTTTATCTCTCACCACTTGTTCATAATGGTTGTTTACGTTCCATTAGGTGGGTCAAGAAAAGCCTGGAACCTGTTGCTTAAGACCATTATGAATTCGTTGTGTGGTACGGTATCCCGGAAAAAAGCCGTAATAAACTTTTGTGGTGTTGCCTGTTCCGTTGTCTAGAGTTTCTTGAGGTTGACTTTCTTTTTAGCAACCAGTAAGTGATGATCTGATGCTCTATTAGCTTCGCCCTTGCTCCTAATTACCTTCATCGTTCATCTGAACTTATTTGATACAAATATGGTCTATTTGGTTCTGAGTCGTGTGGTCGATTGAAATCCATGTAGCTTTGTTTATGCGTTTGTGCTGAAAATTGTGCCACCGCTGATCATTTTGCAAATCACCCACCGTTTTCGTACTCTGTCGTCTATCCCATGTTCTCTTCGTGAACATATTATAACAGCAGTCGGAGTTGATTATGCGATCAATAGACAATGATTAATCTTGAAACGGAAAAGAAAAAAAACTTTCTAAAATATTTTGTTTTTATAGCGAAACAGGTAAATTTATTATTCTAAAATATCGCCATGTCAACCAGCCAAGATTCAAATATCAAATAAACCTGTTCAAATATTACTAAATTTCACTTTCATTCATTTGATTCAGGATTACATTTTCAAAAATAATTTATATATCCAAACACATAACTATCGACTAATTTATTTATTAGTTCACTTTTAGTACAGATGAATATAGTGCATCTATTGGCCATATATCATTGACGCTACCTCCAACATTCTCAGCATTTCCAGAAGATTACAAAATCAATACAGAACAACTAGTTACTTCGAAATTTATAATGACGACGATTGGTTATGTGAACGTGACAAATCTACAAAATTTTGGTAAGTTAATAACTTATTTTCATTACACGGTTGCTTGATTGAAGTTCAATAATAACAGACTTGGATGCCATCTAGAGGGTCAGGGGTTAGGCGGTCGCGCCTCAGGGGGTTCTGTTCTTACGTGTAGATGTCGTGAATGTGCACTGCTGATCAGTTCCATGCTCAGACATAGCCGCCAACCAGGTTTCCAAATAAAAGTCCAACACTGACCGATTCGTGATTTCAGCGAAAATTAACTATGTCCACACACTATCATACATTTGTGCTCAAGTTCACACATACCAATGACGAACTGACCTGGAAAATTAGAATAACGCATTTGAATCTTCCTCATTCTACACAATTGATGAAATCTTATGTTAAAAAGAATTTGATTATGAACCGATCTGACTGAAAGATCGTCAAAGTAATATATCAGATGATAATAAGCATCAGAATCCCACTGTTTGATTCCTTACCACAAGAAAATGAAAGATTGTACTCAATTTATAAATCGCTAGATTTTCTCAAACTTTTGTTTGTACAAGGTGTACGTCCTTATAATGGAAAAATCCAACAATATGTATAACCACTTATCAAGAGGTTTTGTTTGATGTTTTTTTTTCTGATTCACCTCAGTAAAATCCTTTCACGTTTATTCATTTACAAATGATCTTATTTTCAAAACACTTTTAGCACCCTTATGTTTTGTTGTAATAATTTGTATTCTTTGTATTGTATACTTGTTTCGTGTGCTTGTTCACATTTATTTTATTTTATATTTTTCAGGAGTTTATGACAAAACTTTGCCAGCATCCAATCGCTCAGTTCGTCTAACAGCTTTTGTAATTATCTTCAGAACAACTTTACCATCCATAAAATTTGAAGCAAAGATGTCACTGGCGGGAACGTCTTCTACAGTAAACTACTGTGAGACTACTGTTGATACGTATACAGCTCACGTTATGGTAAGATTGCTGTAAAATTCTCAGTTATTTTTCTTGCTTACAATAAATAGGCGGGAAATAACTTTATGACAATAACAGAAACTCCAATGAAATACGAACCTGAAAAGGTGCAATTCCTCACAGTTCAAGTTACTGTAACACCATTCACACAGGGAGTATATGCATTTCGAATAAGTAATCAAGGCAAATTAATTGCTGAACCGAGTTTCGTGGATTATTTGATAACAGCGAACAATACAATAAAGAAAGTAAGTTTAATATGGTATAAGGTTCTAACATTATCGATAGCGTTCCATTGATTTAAGTAGCAGTGAAATAAATTTATTAGGGTACATTGATAAATTCTTGTCATTTACTGGAAATGACAAGTGAATGTAAGTTTTTGTGAACTTTTATACGGTTTCAGTACGATTACATTTGATTTGTATAGTGAGCATGTGAAATTCAACTAACTTACTTCAAATCACAAAAATTGCGAATGTTAGTGTAAGTAAACGTTTATCTGACAATGAACTACCAAATGTTAGGTTTTTTGTTATGGGACTTAATACTAGACTGAAAAACGTTCAAAAAAACTAAGGTGAATAAAATAACTGCGTTCTAGAAAAAGAAGGACACTTCTTCTGCGACAACAAAGACAAACCTTCATGCGATGGTTTATTAAGCAGATTACCTACTTCAGAAAAGAAAACCCACAAGCACATGGCAAAAGTCTCCTAGAACACTTGGTCAAATGATGATATATATACAGAAATTGGATTATTGATAAAGAGAGTGTGGTGGAGGAGCTACAGTTAAATTCCATGTCAGAGCACTCCAGTCTATGTGCATAAACTGGATTCGATATAGTGCTCGCCACTTAGGTGGCCCGTGGTCTGAGTCCCTTATTTACTCACTAATAAATATGCTCTGAAAAAGAGCAAGCCCTCAATTTCCGTATATAATATTTGGACGAACTCCGTTTGTTCGACCGTGGTTAATAAGATCCAAATATGGATTCGGTTGGATGAATTCGATTCTGGCAATCATTGAGCAGACAGGCAGTAGAGTACAAAGTGTTAAGGCTAAGCAAAGCGCAGTGAAGAAGTCTGTCAAGCCAACTCAATGTAATAAGTCTTGACTAAGCATTCATAGACAGAAACTCCATATGGTTTCACTCCGCTAGACGCAGCTTCCCACGACAACTTTGAAAGTTATTTCCCACTAATGAGCACACCATCGTTAGTAGTGTGTTGAGATTTGCAGAAACTGTATAGTTTTCATAGTATAAACAATCGGATGGCAGCTCGGTTATAACTGTGCTTGAAGCCTGAAGTAAGTAAGCTTAGTTATGTCGAGGTTAAGTACTTACGCACAAAGTTTATCACTGTCGGTTCGAAAATTTTACAATCTCCGCAAATACCACAACCATGCTTCACAGACCTAAAATTGAAAAAGTGTTATGTCATTGTATTTTAAGTTTAAATATCTTGCAAATATTACAGGTCAGATTAATAACAGAATACACACTATCAAGCGGAATGATCAAGGGAAGCAATACCGTGATCGGTGTATTTACAAATTTTAATTCAAGGAGTGTTACTTATAATTTTCGAATTGGAATAAAATTGTGTTACAGTAAAACTTACGTTCAGGGTGATGTAGCGCAAATACAACTCATATTTTACACATCTTTAAAAACTCTAAACACAACCAGCATAACACTCCCAAATACGTCTATGGCGAATCCACCATCTACTACTCCAGTAAGTCGATAGTTCGTCTTTATTTTCTCAGTTTGTGTTATTTACCTAATTTAAACAGTTAAAATATTTAGTTTATTCTGATTGTCAGATGTCCAACAATATAATGATATTTTCCATTAATGACTTATTAGCGGACCGTGAATGAAGTTGAAAGTGACAACAAGTTTCTTCCTATATAGTAAGATTTTTTTGTAGCTGAATCATTTATCGACTAACATAGAATTAAATGTCACATATTGTTATCAGATGAATATTCAACTTCGCAATGTAATTGTTTGCTCACAGCAAAAAATCTAACTATCGAACTGACAACTTCTAGTGAATGTCGGAAATAGCTTCACTTTATGTAACTGCTAACTCAGTATTGAGGGTGTTATAAAATTTTCCTATATTTTTGAAGCATGAGAAACTTTATTTATATGAATTGCTGGACCATGCAATTGCTGTTTGTTTCACTAACTCGTGTCTTCGCAAAGGCATTATACACAACTTGCTCAACAATGATGCTGGGCAGATATATAAACCATTCCACATTGTTTGAACTCTCTCCATCAAATATGACTTGAGCGCGATTATTGTTTTTGTAGAGATGCAACTCATGCTTATGATTATCATTCTATGATGATACCGCTGATTTGTAATTGTTAGCAAACAATAATCGATCCATAATTTCGTTAAGACTCAATAATTTCCGTAAATCTATAGTGAAAAATCTTCGTCTTCTTATTACACTATCCAAATCTGGATGAGCTCTTCACTTCATGCATATTCCTTTACATCACAGCCGAATTAATCCGTTATGGTTTGCTACACTTTGTAGTTTAGAAATCGTGTCTAGAAATGCTAAAACGCCATTCAACTATGTAGATGTATAAGTGATTGTACAGTAAAAATGTATTCAATCTCTCAACGTTGCACTCACTAACGTGTCCGTTTTAAACAAATATCACTTGATTTCAGTCCGCAAAATCTGCTATACTTATTGTTGAAAAAATTGAACCAAGAAATTCCCCGCCAATGGTAAATTTTAGTTTCATTATAGAAATGAGAGCGAAATTTGTTAAAGACTTTCTTTACATGCCAGTAATATTTCAGTTGAAAGTGAACTCAAGTGAAGTGTACATAATTAGACAAAAAATTCAAACGATTGGGTATTTATTAGACACTGTGGTGCCCATTCCATATAGCGCTTCTGTGAAACCGTAAGTTATATTTATGATGTATATTTTCTAAATAGTGTTGATCAAGTTGACATCCCATAATCACGATAAAGAGTCTGAAGATAAAGCAGACAGTGAGATAAACGAATAAAAATGTTGATATATAAACGTTTTTTTATAATAAGGCAAGAAAACTTTCAGTTTATGGCAGTAATGTCTAGGCTTTCAGCTAAATAAACTAAAATTAGCATAACATGTCACAGAATGGGAAGAATGTGACTACCAGTAGATTAGAAAATACATGTTATTTCCTATTTTGGTTTCATCGACTCTTCCAACCTTCATCTCAGCTTGAATGTTAGCTTCGAAACTTGAATCGATTGTATTTTGTTCCGAAGGCTCAACGGGCTTTTTACTTAGCCACTAAGTCCAAATAGCCATTGGTTTATGAAATCGTACAATTCATGGATGCACAGAACATTGATTTTGTTTTCGACATTATTGAATTGGATTTCTTTTCAAACAAACGCTATATGAGCAGAGATGAAAATGAGTTAAATTCATACTAATATCATACAAGCTTAAATTCTCATAGTCGACTGAATCAATATACTTTTATAAAAGTATGTCGTTTTAGAAGGCTGCACATATGTTTAACTACATTGATATATCTTGTTTTGTGCTAACCTGACTGGTACACTCCCTTACGTTACATTCGTTTTAAGTTTAATATCACTTTTCAAGTTCAGATAAATTTTTAATAGCCACATGATAAGATCACCTGATATGTTCATTGCACTAAATACATTGTCAAAATTACACTGTATTTAGAAAATCTTTTAGAGTTTGTTCAAAAAAGATGTCATTTTAGGTTATTTTCGGAAATTGACTGAGTAAAAGAAAAAATAAAACTGTTAACAAAATAATTCAGTTTTCTTTTGACTATTGATAAAAAATGTGAAATCTTCTAGACTAACTAAATAAATTCATGAGAGTTATTATTTTATTTTCATAGATTATTCATCAAACGGATCGAACTAAACACTTATATACTCACTCATCAACACCCAGTTGATCGAACGCCGTCCACCATCGTTACGGAACTCAGTTTCTTTTCTGCTTTTCGTTCCCATTCTTCCCAATTTTTATTCATTATTTTCATGTCTGTTTCCGATTCTCGGCCCCGAGGATCATAAGATAGGGCTCACATTGTGATGCGTTAACACGCTTTCCACAGTGTGTGTCCTATCCACCTTCAAAAATTTTTCTTAGTTTCTTCCTCATCTCCAATCTACGTTGACCTGTCTGACAGTAATTTGTTGCGGATGGTTTCTGAACTACTTATATGAAGTATCTTATTCGTGGACAACGGTTATTAAACACCTGTGTCTTACATATGATGGCTTCTATAGTTCTCTTAATTACCGCTCTATAAAGTAGGATTGACTTGACGCATGCATTTAAAACTGTGGTTTTGGTGGTTTTTTTATTGTATTTAGTTTCAGATGTTGTTCACTTTTGGAAACGCCGCCCTTCCTTTACCAATGAACGTCGTTATTTACCAAGTCATGTTTTCTTCGACGAATTCAAATTACTATACTCTCCTAAGTTGTTGGTTGAGAGTTGATCTGCTCAAGAACCCATCAAAGTGCTCTACCCATCTGTTTTACTGTTCTTGAATCACTGTGGTTGGTTTTACTTCATTGCTTTTCTGTTTCACGATACTTTCAAGCGAGCTTCTTTGTTCTGTCCGATGTTACTATCTCGTACATCCTTTTACGCCGTCACTACCATATCGTTCACATATTTACTTTGATCGGTGCTGATGCCCTTATTCACCTGCTTGTCTGCGCATGTGATCGTACGTTTATATTATACGTTTATCAAGTTTGTCGAAAGGAGACTTATTTACGAATCTCCTATCGTTTTCGTTCCTTTCTCTCAATTCTCTCTCCTATTCAAATCTTCATATATAGTGTTGTTCATTGGAACCGTGTCGGTTAGGTTACTCATTGAAATGGTTAAATCCTTTGTTGGACGTTTTTTACTATTGACTCCAGACTGTAGTAAAATTTGTCTTTATCGTCCGCATTCTGAAGGATGCGCCGTTTTTCCTGGATTGATCTGATTCCAATCATATAGGTGGTTGTTGTGTTTCTTTGAGTAACATTAGTGCAACACCCTATGTATATGCGTCCTTTTCTTCTTCATAGTTGCGGTACACCAGAATCCCTTTTGAAGCCAATCATTTTTTACAGTCTGCGTCTGAATGGTTTCACATATTTCAAGCAAAACCAGATTGTATGATCTTTAACTGATCAAATAGAATGGGCATCTACTTTAACACTTACGAAGAAACTTGCTTGTCACCATTAGGTAAGATAAGTCTCCTGAAAATCAGTCAGTCAGTTACAACGAAGATTTTCGTACGTACATACGTTCAGGTTGTCATACAACAATGGAACAGAAACGTGATTATCAGTTCAAATATAATTATTGTGGAAGTATAAGCGGTGCTGATCAGAATTCGGAAAAATTGTTCAACAGGTTTAATTCAATAAAATAAATTTAGTAAGACAGAGATCGATATGATGAGGAATTCAGAAAACTAAAGCTTGCTTTTCAAAGTCTTTACCCTCGATTACTATCGTCTTTCAGACTATAGCTAGGAAGTCTACACTGAGCAGCATGACTCAGTCCTGTTGTTAGTGATGAAATCATAAAATTACTCATATTTAGAAGGTGAATGGAATTGAAAATGAAACGAAATATTTCTTTCTTTCTCATCATTTAAGAGGTTTAGCTGAATTGAAAATTAATTCAGTTTATTTCAATGAAACATGTATCGATTCACAATGTGATTTGGCAATACGTTATTCATTAGTACCAGTTAAAATAAAACAATTTGTGATCACGTCTATATTAAAAACTGGTGCATCAAATGTGACGAAAACATTATTGATCGATTCGCAGTTTGATAATACTACTGTACAAGTACGTGTATAACATTACTAACTTTTTAACATTGAAGCTTTTGGAGAAAGTAACTTAATGAATTTTTTTGTCTGAGTTAGTTTTCGAGTGTGTCCTTTGACTTTGTCACTTAATAGCTCATAATCTTGGCTGTTTTCGCTTGAGTGCGTATGCACACTGCGGACTTTGCTTGTCGTATGTCTAGCCTACCTTGTTCTAACTATAAAAGATTCATCGCATTGAATTAGTAGATTTGCCTTCTTCGTTTAGCTTCGTATTCTATTTTTTTTCCGTTAACGCGAATGAATGAAATAAATTCATCCACAATTACCGGCGTCGCACAAACGGAGTTCGCCCAAGCGTGATAGCACAAGTAAGATGAACGATTTTTTACATGGCATATCTGACAGTTTATCTAAATTAGAGTAAGATTATGGGATACTATGAAGATTTACATTAAGATAAATTTCACAATGAGAAAAATGAAAAGATGATTTTCATTAAACAATATTTCACCATCATTGAAAACAATAATCGATTTAAGTAGGACAACCGTTGAAAATCCGACTGCACTGCTTTACTACTTTCGTTCTAATATGCAACTATTACGCTGTTAGATTGCCACTCTTGTGCAAGCGAATGTCGAATCCAAGGTTGTCAATCACACGTGCCACTGGGAAAGCAACCCATTGTGTACAGTAGTAATTTTATTCAGTCCATCATTATGCTCGATACTGAAAATTACCATGAGCTGACCGGAAACTAGATTTGTGATACAATTACATATAGTTCCATTGAGAAACTATGACTAACACAGTTCCACCATGTCAGGTATATGAGAAAATTATCGACCAAAAGAACTGGGAAGTTGCAGCACAATATTGAGACATTTGAAATATTAGGTTCTGGTTCAGTATTCTGCAGCTTGAGTTTTGATGTTAGATATTTGATCTGTAGTTTGTGAGTAGTGGATACAATACTGTCAAGGGCTCTCGCACTAGGGGGAACCATGTATTTAGCGTTTCTGATGATGGCCAACTTTGATAAATTCATCAAACGTATAACAGTGAAATTAGAATATCTCTCCAGCTTACTTTAAAAGAAGTATCTATTGATAAACTTGAAAAATATTGAACGATAAACGAAATATACAATTTTTCGGAAACGTATTCTGCTAAAATACTGCACGTTGTAAACCATATCTAAATTTATTCCTGAAATATTTTACCACAGTATTGAGAATATTGTTGAAATTCATTGAGATCATGATTCAATCAGTGTTTGACAAACATTTGAAACCTGGAAGAACTGGACGGCCATTTCGTCCATTTGTCGTTTTTCTCAGCTGTGCGCATCCACGACTACCGCCCTTGGTAATCGGACTCGGGACCTTCTATCTTGCGCACAGTCGGTTGACTGGCCGGCCGTTAAGTCAAAATGCAATGGTTTGGATTTTTCACTCCAGTCATTTTATTGTCACGTACGACCTTATTCGCTGTCTTCGGTGTGCACTGCGTTATATCCGATAACTGTCGAACTTCACTAGCCACGACCATTTACTGGAACTTGGAAAAACTTCTTCAAATATCTAATCCGTTGTGAGCACACGGTCAGTGTTGTATAACTATTTGAAACGTAGAATAATACATTATATTGAAATTTGTTGGTAAATTTAAATTATTAGACTCGAGCGAAAAAGTGTTTTAATAATGAGTTATTTTTATATATTTATCTCCTTTCCAGCTTTATAATTCAAGTCCAACAGTCAGTTTAGTTTCTATTCCGCCGATAAAATTCAAACAGCAATTTATACCGAATACTTTAACACCACTTAAATTAACATTGACTTTGAAGTCGAATACAAAACAAACCATCAGTGTTCGATTATATCCACCAGGTGTTTATCAAGAATTTATGTTTGTAAAACCAATAATCTTGAGTCAGTCATCATCATTGACTTATATGAATATGAGCATAGAACTGATAGGAACTGTAATTCATCTCAATATAGAAAAAGCTTATTTTGAAGGTTCGTTTATACCTTTTTTGATATTTTACTTTAATCAGGTTGTTTTTAAATGTTATGAAGATCGTCGGGTTTCAGTGAAATCATGAATGAGTCACATTAAGATTACCGTTTAGAAAACTGGTAGCATAAGCACCATTATCATCAGTGCGAACCCACAACTCTTGTTCACGTAAGTAAAACCAACGACTTTCGTTTGTGCATGTCAACGCTAAACCTCCAGACTGCTGAAGCTCCATACAACAGTGTTCATGTCCAACTCACCAAAGACAGTGAATGAGGTTGCTCAAGACCGTGGATTGATCAGTGATAGATGTCAACATCGTTTGATGCCAGGCGTTCTTGCGCAAAACTGAAGATCATGAGTTCGATTTCTGAGGGCAGAAGTGAAGGTTGCATACTCTTGATGAGTCAGGTGTAATAATCTTACCTGAGGTAAGCAATTCTACTGCCAAATGTAGACTGTGGTATAAATGTCTGTACGTCTCATCAAGACTAATTCCTTTAGATAGTGAACCGAAGGAAGATTTGATTACAGTAACCTATCGCGTCACTAAATCACTGATCTTCGTCCCATTTCCGAGTAAGCTGAACTCATCGTCACTTGAGTAAATCGATACCCTAGTCTAGTAAATATCTCTTGTGTCGGTCATGACAACAGAACCTATCTGCAAAATGTATCTGCTTTATTTGAATTATTCTTCTCATAAACCTTTGTTTCTTGATTCCTTCTAGTGTATTACCTAACTAAAACTACATTCCTTAATTTCGGGATGCACATGAATATGTTCTAGTTATCGAAATTGAAAGATATAGATTTATTTTCAAAGAGTGGTAAATTATCAATTCATTTTCTAATTTTTCCGTTAGGCATTCAAACTGACGAAATATCTTCTTCAGTAAATCAAATAAATTGCTTTATACTACTGTTCACAGCAACTTCTGCACTACCAGTTGTGAATTTTCATTACAATTTGACATTTAATTCTGTTTCTACGCTCGGTACCTTTGTGTTCGCTTCTGGTACTCCAGCAGTAAGTCAAACAGATCTACTACATTTTTTATTTTTCAATTATATGGAAAACAATTTGTTTCGTTAACTTTTCTCAACTCAACTCTGCTCTGGACTCTTCTTTACAGTCGTCGTTTTAAATTGTTATTCACAGCCTACAATTTTGCCTCAGATTACAAGCGCTGATTTTCGTTTTTTGCTCAGCCATGAGTCGCAACAATCCTTCGACTCTTTTTCTTTTATCATGCAATGTAAGGTGGTTGAGGTGGTTACCAGGATACTTGCGCCTGTGTTTTGTTCTCTTTGGCACTCATCGACAAGGTGTACCCGCAGTCTTAACATGACTGACGCATCCAGACTACTTCATTTGCATTATTTCGCATCACAGTCAACAACATAATCATCGAGATTGATGTTCTGGCAATGACCAACCTCCTATATTGAACAATAGTGTATTTACGACAGTGTTAATTGACCTCATGTAAAACTAAGATGAACTAAATACTTAGTAATTCAACTTATATAGCACAATAATAATTATTTCCATATAACGGTAGTGCCTAGTTATGTGAAAAATCAATTAATCTCATCAAAATCTTCCATTTTTGAATTAACAATAATCACTATAACCTTAGATAAGTAACCGAAGTAATCATTTCTGAGGATGCTGATACCAATCAGTATGTTAGATAATCAATAACAGAGTCGGAAATATATGTGTTAAGATGTGAGGTGCCCAGATCTGAAAGTGATTAGTTCTTATTCCACCCCCAAAGTTTGCCAACTGAACAGGAATGCAAAAAGTTGAAAGGAAGGTCAATCCTTCTTCATAAGTGTGTGTTCAAAACAATTTAACTTGTAACTTGAATATCAGTCACATGCATAACGCTTTTGCTCTGAAAGTGATCAACGTCACTGCATAGAACGAGAAACAAAATTTCATCATAAACTGTCAAAAATACCCATTCATTAGAAGATGTTTCTTGACTGTCTCACATTACTGTCTGCGGTTTAATATCAGTTACAGCATTCTAGCTACTGATTACTAAGACATCATTATACTTTGGTAATGAAGTTAACCGCGAAATTTGAACAGATTGAATCAATGCATCGCATAGAATTCATAGTACTGTGGTGCGAGGTACTTATAAGTAGTATATGACGTGAGCGTCAATGTAATGTCTTGTAGCAGAAGATGGGGAAGATCAAGAAAGGGAGAGTTAGAAAACAATGGAATTTGTATGATACGCATGAATAGTGACAATGAATTGATGTTTTGCAACAGGAACAGTCCGGTTCGAAATGATGAAGTGATATTTTGCAAATTAACGACTTACGATATGGTTTTCCGATTATACTGAGTAACTCTGTAACTTTCGATAAATAAAATTCGAATGCCCCACCTGTTTTCTCCTTCACTACAGTACAGGCAGATTCAGGAGATAGCTGTAGATATTGATATATGACTTACTTTAAATTAAGTAAAGTTTTTGAGTATATTATTTTGTTACTAAATATGAATGTATCACCAAAATAACTTGCATGGAATATAATCTGTTGACGGCAGAGGGAAATTACTTTTCTGCCCATTCACGGACAATAAATTATTTCAAGATTAGTTTTCAAGTTTTACCCGTCACTAAACCATATTCCTAAGGTTTTTCCTCAATGAACATAAGGAACCTAATGTTCCATGGTCATAATGAGAAACCATCATCCGATTAGAAATTGTCTTGATAATAAGATTATGTGATTGGAATGTTAAAGACTGTTGTTTCTATAGATGAGGACATCAAATAGCCGGATATTCTAAAGCGTATTATATATGTACACTAAGTCTACACAAGAAGTTTTTAATTTGTGAAGCAAACAACCCCTAAGATTGACCACAGCAGAAATTACAAAACCATCAGAAAATGGAAGCATTGGACGCTCTTTTAGTCATAAAAACATTGCAGGGTTTGGCTAAAACGGTTACAACTTATTACTGGGGTTCGGAATGTTTCCTCCACCAAAACCGGCCACTGATGAGCACACGAAGACACCGTCGAATACCGGCTCATTGTTCTTGAAGTTCAGCACTCGTCGGCAAGATTGAAGTTTCTGAGACTGGTTCGCACGTGTTTTGGTCATGGATGCGTACGACTGATAAATTAAACACCAAAGCAAATGATAGTCCAGTGTTTCCAGATTTTTTTGGTAGTCTAAAGCGGAACAAACCATAATCTTAATGAAATTCAACAATTTCCTTAATCCTTTGATGAACAATGATGATAAATTTTCATAGTTTCTAATGGGAAAGCAGGAAACCCAAATTAATTAATTCCTTTAAAATTGACTGATGTCATTGTTATTCTTATTATTATTATGAGACGGTGAAATGATTTTTCATAAAATAACGGTTTCAGTTTTCATGGTGTGAGCGATTTTACTAAAAGATCTAGATAAAAATTGATAGAAGTGGAATATGATTGATGAAGGTATCTCATTGTTATATTATTCATTGCAGTAATTTCCTATAAGAATAACAATCCTTCTTTTTCATTGTTTGATAAATATGTTGAATGTACCTCTCATTTTGAGAATTTCGCTGTTCATTTATTGCGTCAATCATGGCATGTAAACTACTGTTTTTCACTGCTGATCTCAATTCGCCATCTGAGGTAAGGTAAAGTTTGAAGTGAAATCCTAAAGTGAAAATGATACTAATCTATTCAACATTCATTCACAAAATGAACCAAAAGCATCCCATATCTTTTGTATATGTTTATATTGAACATTGAAAAGCGGATGCACCCGTTATTCATGAACACATATCCTATCACGATATTTCATATCAGTTCAATTTATATGAAAAATTATTTTGATTGGACTTTATGAATGAGCAAATTATTAGACTTACTTACGCCTTTTACCCCGGCTGACCAGATTTTCCCCACCTACTCTGTGCTGAAAACTTAAGCTGTCGGATAAATAGGCTTCAATAAGTATGGTATGTAGGAGGTGTCTGAGCAAAGAAACTGTATGTTGTAATTTATGATTTTATTACAGTTTCAATGAAAACACTTATTTTACTTGAAATCGTATTTCTTTTATCTTTGACCTTTTGAAATTCATTCACAGGTCATTTGAAAAGTGTCTTTTAAACTACATTTTTTTTAAACAGGCCTTTAAAACTAGTCCTACAGTTACGACTACTTTAGCTAATCCGTTGCCAGAAGATATATATACTTATATGTGTTCTGGAGTACCAATTGAAATGGCACTTAAGATATGTGCCGTCGAATCACGTTGTTCATTCTACACGATTTGGGTTAGTCGAGTGACAAACGACTCCATAACTCTGAATATATCAAGGGCAATCATCAGTTCTATTGAGTCGGATTTGTGGTTACCACCGACATTCACCATGAATATAACCACTGTACAAAAGTAGGATACATTTTTTATTTTCTCAGTTTTTGTTGATGTTTTGTAACTTTAGATAGTCTGCTGGTTTGATAAGTTAACGCATTGTAGTGTTTGCATGCATAGAGTTTGGGCTAGTCGAAAATCAGTTGACCGGAAATCGCACATGGTCGGTAGAGAAATGGCCCTCGTTCCAACGAACGAGACACCATTAGTAGCCTGGTTTTTAGGAGATAATTATTTGGGCATACAAACAAATCGATTTCGTTATGCCAAGAAAACGTTCACTTACGTATCCGGTCGGCATGTTAAATCGAAAGATTGCGTTTCTGTATCGGATTCGGACATCGCTATTCACAACATTTGGCACGCTATATATCAAACAATCTGCTCAAATATCTACCTGTTCAGATATCTATGCAGGAATAAATTAGCGTCAAGCCAGACGGACTAAAACATAAGCAGCAAACACAGATACTAGGAAAAACAATATAAGTTGTACCACTGTGGATATAAAGTTTATGATTCTTCACCACAGATGTATGTGAATTGTTACATAGATATCACTGGACCACATATAGTTACATATACAGTTACATTAGACAACTGAATAATAGCAGTTCTTAAATCTAAAACAAACCTCCTTCGATATACTAGAAAACTCAGAGAATTGCGGATAACTTCAAGCAATAACTTTCAAGCCTCATCAGATGTAATCAAGTTCATTACAGAAAAGTTTGAGATGAATGACAAGTTTCAACGAACTGAGAATAAAGATATCTCAGAAGATATCAGTGAACGATCTTCATAAGTGTGAGAACTGCAGAGATATCATACTAGTATTAGTACCTAACAAAGTTTTCAACAATGTTGTTGAGCCAAAATAGTGAATCAGAAGAAACCCATTTTCATGTTCAACAGACTAGATGTTGTAAGCGTCGATCATGTACTGACCAAATTCATGAAAGTGCGTGTCACTGTTCATCAATCAGCTGAATGGAACAAGTCATTTAATATCACTTATCTTGATTACGAGAAAATGCTTGATAGCATAGAGTACTAGAGATCGTCAGCTTAAAGTGAGACTATTACGACGGACTACACTAAAAATGTCATGTATGCTTAGTAAATTACAACTGCATTTCAAGATTGGATGTTTCACTGGTAAAGGTTGCACCAACAAACAGTCTGAAGTAATAACAGGTTTATCTTGTAATGACTGTCGAGAAATGTAGTCAACATGTTGAATTCCTTTTGCACTCCTGTGCTGAACCGTTTTCATACCTCCACTGCACCTAGCAAACGTGGATATCAAATCTTTAAGTAAAGCATCAGAATTTTCTTTAGAAACTAGGAAAGACAACTCCACTTTAAGCCTTTTCAAATTCTTTAAACCCAGTATTGACAATTCTGTTTCGCTAACTAAGGATTCACAAGGTATGTATGAGGAATTATCATCTCTTATTAGCAATTCACAGAATCCTCGTATAGGCAGTCTGTGTCCAGTAATCCCCAATATCGATACTTCAGTGGGTCGTACCACAACGTTAGGATCTAACGATTTTAAGTTCTTGAATTAAATAATGGACTCTATACTGCCAGTGTCCACAATAGAGTCATGACATGAACCAAGTGACGTATATAATCGCTTTTGAATATGAGCATCACCTTTCGAAATTATGGACAAAGATAAATGATCATTAGGATCATCTGAATTATTGGAATTTAAATTACGAGATTTAGTACTACTTGAGGCGAAATGAACAGTAGCTTTGCATACTGCTTGAATGTGTCCTATATTACCACATCTAAAACATTTAGCATTGCAAATGCACATGAATTACGAGAATGAAGTTTTCCACATGACAAACATTTGCCGAAGTTGGTCCCACCTTTGTGATTTCCTTTGTAATTCTTTATTGAAGCACCGTTTATATTTACACAAGAATAGGAACCACTGGTAAAAGAACACAATTTTGATTGACCCTGAGATTGTTTTTCATCATGAAAACTGATCAAAGCATTGGAAGTCTTCATCGACTGAATATCAAGTTCATTCAACGCCTCGTAGTTAATGCACGCAGTTCTAACATCTTGAAAGGAGCAGTTTGACATTCTTAACAGCTCTCTTTCCAAACTAGGTATGTTAATTCCTGCAATTAATCGGTCTCTCAGTTGCACATGAAGTTGATCACCGAAATTACATTTGACAGCTTGTTTCTGCAATTCAGGAATGAATTCCTTAACCTTTTGGTCATTTTGACGAATCATCTTATGAAATTTCGCCCTTTCACGGCATTCAAAACCAGGGCTTTTTACATGATTGAATAATAACTCCTTAAGCATTGCATAGGGAGGTGAGATAGGTTTTTCTGGATATGCCAAACCTTTCAATAAGCTGTACGCTTCTTTTCCGATGAATGTCAGGAAATGAGCCACATTTTTATCCTCTTTGACATCTTTCCTGATTTCAAAACTTTCCAAATAATCTTCAAAAGTCTCAGAAGTAGAATGAATATCTAACTGTTCCATTGCAAGCTCTATCGCGACGCCAATATGGTAATTAGATGTATGTGAATCAATAATTACGAGATGAGCACGAACGAATGTATTGTATTTAGAATTTTAAATCAAGCATTCAGCAACAACAAGAAGTCACTAGTTAATTCAAACACCACACTTACACAAAATCTCCCAATTTCCTCACTATTATTTTTTCTCTGCAAAAAAGGATGCCAACTTGATCTATAATACCATGTTTCATTCGTATATTGCGTACAAATAAATTCGAAAATAAATCATTGATCTTTTTTATCTGTTGGTTTATTTATTGTTAGTTACATGAGAGTGGATTATGGTCCTCTATGCACCTTAAACCGATATTCATTTTGTGTAAGTCAACAATATACTACAGTTTTCCGTATAACGATATTTAAGAGTTTTCTGTGTAAATGTCAACAACCTATTTGTTTGTTTGTGACACACATTTATTAATGAAACGATGAAACGATCCATTTCGGACGACCAATAAGAACCTAGAAGGATTGGGTGACAGTTTAATGTGAGTTTGCGTTTCATCAGCAGTGTGAATCAATGATTACTGCTACTACTATGAATGCAGCCAAATCCTCCAGTATCGTGCACAAGCGCCTAACCGTTTTGTCGGAAACCAACAGCATTGATCATTTCTCAGTAGTGAACAATATAATTCGGTATTATCGTTTCGTAACTGTCAACACCGGACAATACTGAACTTAAGTGGTCACAAATCATTAGAACTCCGTCACTATTGAGCATCATCGAAACTCATAATTTCAATTAAAGTATGTGCGCATCTGAGTTCTGATCCGGGATTTTCGTGGTAAACCATTGGTGGTAAGACCTCGGAAACACACGCTCATTCCCTAGGTATTGCTACAGATTTTTATTGATGAACAGTACGATAGCAGAACAATAAAAATGTTCAATGCTTTTTGGTTTTTATTAATTTTCGTTCTAAGGTCGATCTGCGATGTTAACTGACAGTTCATTTTTCTGGTTTTTGAAATGCTCCTTTCCATTATAGACCTTCGAAATATTTTTGACATCTTGTAGGCACATTTCAAATATTCTGTTTATTTAATGGGAGATTGCAATGTGACTTCGGTTATAAATTACACATACCCAATATTTGTTAACATCAGCGGTAGTTCAAAGAACTTTTCTGTCGATAACATGACAATCGTTGTCTTACCAAGCTTTCCAAATTACACTCAAGTGAGCATTGGTAGATTTACTCAAAAAATATCTTGCTTATTTCTTTTTTCACTAAACTTAATAATTCATCTTTTACTCAAATTACTTTTGTAATTTTTAAACTCACTATCGACAATCAGATTATTGTATTTATAGGTAAGTCCTTGTTTTTCGTCACAATCGCTTTCCTAATGAAGAAAATTTGCAACAATCAAACATGAAATGCCTACATTGAATAAAGTGATTTTTGTGTTGTTGAATGAAATTAATTGAAAAACATTAAAACTATTGAATCTTGAAATGATAAGAAATGTTTTCATTATTTAATAAAGTAGGTTTAGTTTTGTGTTATTTGATAAAATAATTCAAAACTATCAGCGAAGTAAGTCACGGTATAAATTTTTATGAATTATGTCAGGTAAAAATAACTGTCTACTTTGCGAAGAAATAAGTGAAAATATGGCAATAACATTAGAAACAGTACTAGGTTCATGAAACTGTTGAGTCGTGAAGTTTACACGCCCACACTTATTCCAAAACAGAAGATTGTATATAGGATATCGATTTTTATTGATAGAAAGTCGAGTGATATTAGAATAATATCACGTGTTCAGCTTGTACAATCCATGATAACCCGAAGCGATCGGTAGAACCGCAGGGATGGCGTATGTGGCGCTCGAATAATGACTTTCAGTACAAATAAACAAATGATGTACAATAAAACAGTTATTGTTACATATGTTCAATAATAAGTATTTGTACGTCGGTAATCGTGTTTTTTCGACAAAATAGTTCCACAACAAAAATATCAGTGATTTCACAGGATTTGTTTAGATAAATGGGTCAGGTTTGAACGGATGAATGGCTGCAGCTTCAGTTCTGCATAAGTTTCTATCAAAAAAAGTTTTCGAAGACACGTGACCTTAGTTGCCAGTACGTTCAATGCTAGGATAAGTTATTGATTGTTAAAGCCCTTCAGATATGTCTGGTGATTGCTCTGATATTTGTTTCAAAACAGTTCATGTTTTGTACAGTCAATACAATTCGTCTCATCATATGAAGAACTTAACTGATAAATGTGCCAGTTAAGTAACCGACAGCGACAGACAAAGAACTTAATTTCACTATATCAGAATACCTTCATTCTTGTTGATAAAAGAGTGGTTTTCTTTTTATTTATTGATAGTTTTCAACAAAATTATAAAATACATTTATAATGAAAAAGGAATTCAATAAAATTCTGTGATCGTTTTGAGCAGTATATGAAAAATAACTAACAACAAGATGAAATCATTGCGCAATTATAAATGTAAACATTACACTACAAAATTTATCATCGAAAATTGACTAAACATTCCAATCTGAAGCACCGACAAACGCAATACAAATGAACTTACTTAATCGATTGATTTCTTTCGTTTTTGCTGTTGTCTAAATAAGTCGATTGAATAAAACGTTTTTCTAAGTTTATATGAACGTAATCTACATTCGTATCGATCGATAGATAAATATAACATAAAACGACTCAATTCAAGGGATTGAAATTTCTGAATGTTGTCAAACAATAACTCTCTGAGCTGAGCTAACCACAACAATAAATATAAAACTATCAGAATATCATCTATTCAATCAAATATATAAACAATGGCCTATTTTTTTGAAAGAGCTAATATGAAATAACTGAATTTTGAATCAGGTTTCTGATACGAGTTTATTATATAAAGTTAGTTTTCTACCGGTTGTGGCTGCCATTCTCATGCCCAATTATCTTTCTTTATCTGCTCTTGGGATCGGTAGTAACCATAGTAGAGCAACGGGCGAATTTGAAATACTGAACTACTCAAATATTTGAGCATAGGTTGAAAAATCTCACTTAGATAATGAAAGTAGTTACAAAATATTTTGGCAAAATGGTGCTTTAAATTGTTATTATTATCATTATTACTTACCCATTTAGATATTAGTTCAATCTAAATCGAATAATGTAGCAATGCAACCAGGTGAAAAGCGAATCATTCCTATCGATTATATATTCCCATTGAATTCGAACTATTCCAATTCTTCCATAAAAATTATTGGAACTGATATCAATAGTAGCAATGAATCCGTTATCAGTATCATTAATTTCAATCTAAGTCTTGGTAGTAATTTAGCATCAATAACTAATGATTATTCATTTAATTATTCATCAATTTACCAAACAAACCGAATTGATCAATTAATCATTTACTTTAAAAATATTCGTAATACTGGTAAGTTGAATTCGAAATTATATTCTTCTGTCATTCAATACAATGTGTGACATAATAGCTATGTATGTGCTAATGATAACATCGGCTGTTTTATGCCCGAGCTACCTGTTTGGTTCTAACATCGAAATATTTCAACAAGTAATCGATTTCTGTTTGTGTATTTAGACGTTAATGAAATCTAATAATTACATCATCTATTCAAGTGTGTATATAAACGGTTTAATGAGCTGTCACTTGGTATGATCCAAGTTGTCTAAGTGTCGTCTAGAAATGTGCTGTGCAAAAGCATTGACGTTAAAAAAATCTTGACTAATTTTGGAAGAGAATTCTCATTGTTCTATTAAGAAGCAATGTGTGAGGTTGCGCAGCACCGTGGATTGATTGAAGTTCGTAAATATTGATATCACTGGATGCCGGCTCAGTAGTCTCACAGTTAGGCATTTGACAGCGAAATCAAATGTTATCAGTTCGATTCCATCGTGCGGCTGTCACGGATGCACTCTATTATACTGACAAGAGAAGTCCGTCTAGTACTTGAAGGTTTATGATGGTGATCTTAAGGTATTAGATTCATGATATCAATGAAATATATTGTTTGTTAGCAGACGTACAACCAATGTGATTGCGAAAAACTAGCTGTTAATTCGAAACGAATATATAACGTTTTTTGACTTTTCAATTCAATCAAGTTTATTTTTATTTAACAGGTACGTCAAGTGTACCGTTAATGCGTAATACTCTTAGTCTTTCAGTGGAAATTCAACTGAGTGATAGTAAAAGTGTAGAAAATGGAACTATTTGGCCATTAATATTCACAGGTCAATTCAATAATGTGAAAAATCTTACCAAAATATTTGTTACTTGTTTGAGAAACGGTTTGGAAAAACCATCAATCAATGTTATTCCATCGCAGTTGTCATCATTCACTCTCACTGACTGTCCTGATAGGTATGTTCAAAACACACACTTGAACACAACTATACACTTATATTTTTCAATATTTGGCAGAGGTCAATGAATAACGGTCGACAAATATTTGGGATTGATTGAAGTTGGGCAATAAAACTGTTGTATTTCGGCATAATGGTCTCCAGGATAATTATCTGTCTGAAAGAGCAAAGATATTTGGCCTAAAGGTTTGAGGTGGTTAATGAGGGTTCTCATACCAGAATGTAGAGGCTGTTCAGTGCTTTCAACAGCAGGCTAACTTGGGTTGGTTCGTGACTTCAGCATACTCGCCGGAACTATTAAAAACTTAAATGCAAATCCGTTTGGATATCTTGAGAAGAATAGAAACAAACCCCAGTCTTAACGAATGATTTTGCAAACTTCTCAATTTTTTTCAATAGTAGATTGTTCCGCTCCTGTATTTGAACAATCAAATGTAAGAATTTCGTCTAGACCATTTGTTAAATATGCTCAGAATCTGGTTGATGAAATATGACTCCTGATTACAGTTCATCAGATCACTACATCTGATTATCAACCTTTTCAGATTTGATAAACAGTCATTCATACAAAACAAAATGGTTGCGTAAAACATATCTGATACCATTAAGAATAATGATGGAATTCTTAAGTCCGTTTAATGAATGACAAAATGACAACTTATAGTGCAGATCACCCAGTTTAGTCGCTCGGTTTAGTTAGGATGCTTATTATCTGAAGTAACGTTGTATATATTAACCTTTTTTGTTGAATTTTATTACTCAGAGATCAAGTTTATCTTCAAATTATAGTCCATATGATGAGTGGTACAGGATTGGAATGTGAAAGACAATCGATAATTTTATATTTCAGTCCACAAATAAAATCAATCAGTGTAGTTAATCAAACAGGTACTAAAAATAATCTTACACTGAAGACACCATTGCATCCAATAAGTAAATCAGTTCAATTCCAAGTAAGTTTCAATGTTTCTTATTATTGATCACAATAAAGTGATAAACCAAAGTATTTTAAAGGGACTTGATAATCTCTTTGCAGTGTACGTAATTTCACCGATTGCAGTGTTCACAGAAATGACAACAAAGTCAAGTTCTTTATAATTCTGGTCGAAAACCATAAATAAAAATATCAACTAGTCCAAGTGACTTGACATCACGAATACAATAATGAACTCACAGGTACACCTTGCTGATGTGTTCTGAATAGGAGGAAACGTACATCCATGATTTTCAGTCGACAATTTTCAATCCCTATATTCAATTAAACAAGAAAAATGACTAAGAATTTTAGAAAAACGATTTTTCAACTTTTTTAATTTATCTTGTTAAGTAATCAACTTGGACCCTAAGCGCTTCCAGTAACTGTGTGGGTACGTGTCAGGACTGAACTGTAATGTTCTTATTGTATTGGTTATCTTGAAAAGCAGTGTAAAACTACACTTTCATATTGAGGACAACTTGAATTGTTGTATTTTTCAATTCATTCTCATGAAAGTATTTGTTTAATACACTCATAATATGTTAACTCATTGAAGATGCGGTTATATATTTGAAACGCCTTTATATGCGTTAGTATAACGTGATTTGAATGTTAGTAGCTCATTTCGTTACGAAAATATCTGTCATTGATAATGTATTCGAAAAAATTCCTCATTTACAAACTCATTCATCTAAATTTTTTCCCCGTATTTCAATTGTCAGTCCGTAGAAAAATATAGAGAATAATATTTTTGAAAGTTAAGAAATTTTATTATATTTCAGACTGGATCATTATATTTTGGTACAAATTATACAGTTATATTCAGTTTGAAATACTATTCAACAATTATTAGATCAATTGTGAAATTTCCAGTTTTGATCGAAATTGTATGCAAACCAATTGAACGTGGCAGTGCAGTAGTAAACACTTGTTCACAACCAAAATTTTTCAAATTTAGATCTCGTATACATGTTGCACTTGATTATACTTGTGAGTTTTTGAAATGTTTACTGATAGTTAGAAATTATTGTTAGTCGTTGAACGTCATGATGAGTTTAAAATTACGTTGCATCAGCATTCGCCGTCTCGAGTCTCCTTCGGATTTCTGCTGGTCCTAGGCACCGATAAATGAGGATGGTAGAACAAAGAATACGATGTCTATTGTCTTAGATAGCTAGCTCGTAAAAAACGCTAATCAGGGAATATTATACATTTTGCATTAAAACGTTTATCATTTATTCACGCCTACTGTATAACTTATAGCAAATCGTATAATGTACTACCTCGCGGGATAACAAATGTTAATCTCGATACTCTTAGAATCAAATAAAACAACGATTCTATATGCAGAAGTATATTAAATGCTAGCTCTATGATATCAAAATAATATCGAGACCAGAGGGCGTACAAACGGCTAATGTTTACTAGTTTCAAAAAAATATTACAATATTCAATTGTCGTAACAGTCATTTGTGGATTGTGTTCCGTCTCAGGTTGAAGCAAATCATGTGTTGGTTCTTTCCATGTGATCATCTTTCAACTGTATCAATTCAGCAACATACACACTGTTAATTAATATTGATAATAATACTAATATTTGTGATCTTTTATATACTGATATATTTATATATTTAGATCCCTGTCATTTACCACATTTTACTGCAATGAAACACTCCGTGGTACAGTTACCTAATCGTCAAACAAATACATTTCTAAATGTTGGTGATTATTTATTTTATTGTGGACAAGCGTTTAATAGAAAAAGTTCACTGGTTTTAGATAGACGTTGTTTTATGATTAATAAATTACCTGATAGAATATGGTATGGTAAGTTATATTGAGGTAAATATATATTCATTCCTATTCATTCATGGTAGCACAAAATTACAACACAATGGATGAATGCACATGTGCCAATGAGACTTTTACCCTTTATTGTAAATTAAAACGATCTGGAATTGAGTCCAGTCGCATGGGATTACGCCTTGTTCCCAGATTCTACCTAAATTCTCGGTCAATCCAACTGTTGAAACTGGCCCACCATACCCAAAGTTTTCAGGGCTCGGCCTATCAGGCTCTGTTGCACTGCTTCACTTGAGCTTTTTAAACTTCATCTAAAGCCGAAAGACATACGCTGATTCGCCATTCAGGATGACTGGGGATCTTGAGAAAATAAAGTGTGGCTGTAGGCAATATGAACTGGTCCTTCAAGTGTTTCTCCTATTGATCCAATCTTCTCTGTTGGAAACGAGTGATAAGTCCATTCTTTTCTAAAATGGTTTTTCTGACAGATGAGTTCCTAGTGTCTTATCTAAGGCAAAATGGTTGTCTCCTGTTGCCCATTGGCGCGGCCTTGCTTGCTTGCTTTCTCTACCCACCACTGTTCAGGATCACTGCGTTGTCTGTTTATCAGCCTGCGCTGAACTAACTTCACTCTGCATCATTTTCAGAGTTAGGTGGAATGCGTTTACGAGCGTTTATCATTTCCGTGGACACCATTGTGATCCACGGCTTCTTCTTAGACTTGTAATTGACCTTACTAACAGATATTACTGCTGTTTTAACAGCCTTTTCAATGTCATTCCGAGATGCCCCTGGGTGGTAATCGCTAACATGTTCTCCTGACAGTTTCCTTAGTTGTTTCTGACATAAATTCCTAGCTGTGCTTTCATAAAATAGAGTTCTCAAAGGTTTCTTTTCTACGTCCGGCAAGTCGCAAACAAGTACGCGCTTGGGCCAGGGCATAATCCTTATCTAATAATGTGCCCCGGAATGAGCGACAGACCTCTGTCGGGCCCCTACATTGGTGGCTGATATCGAAAGGTGATCTAGTTGGGTTCAACGTTGAAAAAACGTTTGGGGGTTGTCGTGTCAACAGATGATTTCCTAATGTCGAAATTTGGTGTTTGGTAGAAAAGAGAATTTATCTGAGCATATTTGCAACAGCCGGTCACTATCATCTGTTCTCTGAGCCGCTATACCAAAAAACACAACAGTGGTGCGAGGTGATAAAGGAATGTGAGAAGAGTTAGTTGTGGAGATAATGAGGACGTTAGGGGTTGTAGGAAAGATTTTATTGTGGCCAATTTGGCATCTCGTGCTTTTATGTGTATAAAGACCGTTGTCACTTGCCAGCTGCTCACACCGTGGAACGGTGCATTTTTGAGGATCCTGCAAGGGAATGTAGGTCAGTGTTGGTCTTAGAAAGCTGGTAGCGTTATCTAAGAGAGTAAGGGACAACTGCTTGAGGCCATTCAAGCAACGGCCGTTTAATGAGAAATTTTTAAAGTGTGAGCTCCGCTCTCGGAGACGTATTTATGGGAGGCAAGGTTAGGTGTGACATTTTTATGCCCCACATTTTCTAACCAACGGTAGTGCCTAACTGGAATCTGACAACGTACGAATCATGATTTTAGTGAAATTTCATTTGCATATCTTCTAATCTGCCTTGACTTATGCATCATCTGTACTACTACAATAGCTTATCGTTAGTGAGACTCTACTTATGTCATTCGTTAAGCAGAATCTATTGTAATAACGTCGGTATAATTTCTGTATCAAATATCTACTCAGAGTATCGCATCAACTGACGTTTTGTTACGGAAAATACGCACACACATTTATACCATGGTAAGCCTATCGTTTTCTTTGCATTAGCAAAGTATAATGTAAATTTTATAGTGTTTTCTTAATTAATCACTTATACTTAATAAAGCTATAAATCCAACTATACCAGTTCAACAAAAGTGACCACACAAATCTCGAACAGAAGAAAGGTGACTTTAAACATCCAAAAAGCATTGTATTGTTTGAATTATAAATAATTCAGTTCATAATTCGATTTTAAGAAGTGTAAAAATCCTCATAGAAAAGCACAATTACATATATTTTTAAAAATTTTTATTTAAGCAAATATTTACTGGCACAGTATTGACATAGAATACTTCCTTGACGCCCAGACCGAAGGTGGTTCAATTTCGTAAATAATACTTCTGCCAAGAGATGACAGTGAGCAGGAATTCCCTGACAGTCACTATATATGTGAAGCCGTATGAGAGCATTTAGAGAGAAAGAACAGAGGTGACGAACGGTCGGCCGTATCAAGGCACAAGAGACTCATGTATGATTGGGTTATTGATGAGCAATAACTATTATTCACTATTCTATTCTCCTGTTTGATTAAGTTCCGTCGATCATATTGTATTTTATCATGATTTTAATTCTGTCAAACCATTATTTCATAGTCTTTCAATCCGTTTTAAAATTTAAGTTTATCCTACGTAATACTTTATCAATCTACAGATATGGGACCATCGGTTGAACAGATCATAGCATATACAAATCCATCTGGTTTGTTGTTTGGTATGGGAGCAAATGGTGGAGGTGTTTTAATGAGTAAGAATTTTGGGAAGACGTGGCACACAGTCAACCCGTTCTTATATAAGAGAAACTTGAATACGCCAACAGAAATCATCACTGCAGATATTGTGCCATGGATTTTAGTGACAGGAACAATTGACAGTGCACTGATGGAGTCATTTTGCAAGTTACAGGTGGCTGAGCGATGGAATGGTAAATAGTAGTCAGTTATCAATAAAAACTTTATTATACCGGATGTTTTACGACTTAACATGAGAGTGTAAAATATATCAACGATATTCCTTATTGTTCAAGGTTTTCAATAACGATTTTTGATACATCAAATAAGCTTCTGTGTTGTAGATCAGTCAACCAAAGTAATATATTATGTGTTAATATGACTTTCATTTCAAAAATTACTGATTTTATCGCAAGTGAAGTGTTCAGTTGTCCCTAGATTGGTGTTGTCATTCATCTTGTAGTTAGAACAAATCAATACATTGTTACTGATATCAGAAGGTTAAAAATCATTCAAATTATTCAAATAAGTTATAACCCTATACAGAAATATGAAATTTTTATAGTCTAAACATTGGATTGTTCTGCGCTCTTTGATTCTGAAGTTATAAATGTTGGGGATGTCAGATCCCCAAAACTCGCCTGTTGAATGCCTAAAATTTGAATTTTACGTTTGTCAGCATGGATGATCAGTTGACCTTGAAATTTCATTTCCAACCACCAAAATCCATGGCTGTGATTGGCTGCTTTGTATTCTAGTTTGCAATTTTTGTGACTGTCGTAAGGACGTTTCAATGATGTATAAATAAACGAGGGTTGTGTTCTTGATTGTATTGTGTGATATACTTTGCAAATTGGGGATTTAGGTTAGCCTACTTGGACGCTGGTAGTTTTCTCGTTCGTGTTTATCGACTAAGGTGAATTCGTGATAGCTTCAAGCATACCTAGTGACGGACCTGACTATGAGTATCAAAATTAACATTAGTTAAAAAAATTTGCATTGTTTCTTTCATTGCTCGGATTTAAAACTGAACTAGGTAATCCTGTAGATATGTGAACGTATACCTAGATACTGATTTTACCGGTAACTGAATACTTCAATATTATGATCGAGGAAGCTAACTTTGTTCCAGGACATTTGAGTCGGACAAAAATGCTTCAGTTTCTTTGTTCATATTTGGAAAACACAACTGAATAACATGCACCAGCGCGTATTTCTGAATCTTAGATGTCATCGCCATCTGAAATCATCTTCTTCTACACAATAAACCATAGACCTCCAGAAAATTACATCCAGAAGAGAAATTTTAAATTGGAGAAAACATGTATCTCGTTTCTTATCACCGACCAATAATCTAAAATCTTATTAATTCAAACTATTTGCTTTATTAAAAAATTCCTTGTTTTAAAAAAAACGGGTGTAAAAATATGATATTATACTGTCAAAAAACCCGCTCCATTCCATCTGTTTTTTGTCGTAACAGAAATATTCACATTTGGCCTAAATTGATTTCGATAGAAAAAGGCAAAACATGACTTGACTACGGTTTTTTTGGAAAAATGGATCCTACCAAACTTGAATTATTACTTGAGCAGCAGCTGAAACTGATACAGATGCGATACAGATCTGAAGAATTCTCCTTCCACACAGCCCAGCTCATATAATGCACTCACAGCCCCATCAGTCGACGGCATCACAAATAGCATAGCTGAATTTCATTATGATCCTAATGTTAATGTTATTTTTGACTTGTGGTTCCTGCGTTATGAAGATTCACGTAAATTTGATTTCGCCAATCAAGATGATGCTTGGATGGTATGGCTACTACTTCGAAAGTTGGGTGCTAGTGAGCTGAAAAACTACTGCAATTCGATGCTGCCTTTGAACCTACGAGATTGTTCATCTTCTGAGACAGTTCAGGCATTGAGCCAACACTCTGGCGATAACTCGTCAATGAATAATACTCGTTATCGATGTTTAAAGCTAGTTATGAACGAAGACTATGATTTTCTTACGCACGTGCGCATCGTCAACCGGAAGATCAGTTTGAAGCCGTTATACTAATCTTTAGCCAGCAGTCTCATAAATTCAGTGACATTAGAACAAAGCTTCAATGTCAGTTAGAGAAAGATCCGAAGTTCACCCTTAGTGACATGGTTGATGAGTACCAACGTCTCAATAACCTACAACGAGACTCAACTATAGTGCAGAGTGGTGGGTCAAGCCGATCTGAAGTACATTTGGTTCAACAACTACCTAATCCGACAAAATCTGCAAATGCTAAACCCTAATCATTCCACTCCAGCTCTGTCCAAAAGTCAAAAATGAATCTCTCTGCTCCTTGCTGGCACTGCAGATTGTGGCACCATGTACGAAACTGCCCATTTAGACAACATCGATTCAGTTAGTGTAATGTTACAAGATGGTTTTTACCTAATAAAAAAGCCAAACTGACCCAGAAGTGCCAAGGAGTTTGTTCCAAGATCCGGTAGCAATTTATTGAGCCCAATATCTTCCTGTCAAGGCTCATCATCAGGTGAGAGAAAATTCATTACTCTTAATGTTAACGGCCATTTATGGAGATTGCAAATAGATACCGCATCTGATGTGAACATCCTCTGAAGCAAAAAGTGGACCAAATTAGGCAGCCCAAGCTTGGAGCACACAGAACAGAAGCCTCGTACAGTTTGTGGTAATTACTTTTGTATATTGGAATGTAAAGTTAACTTCCGAGACTCGTCATTTACTGGTGTATGCTATATAACGCCAGCTGATCTAAATTTACTTGGTTAAGATTGGTTCTACCAGGTTGATTTGGCTGATGTCCCAATAAATACCATATGCTTCCAGTTATCACAATCACATGACCCCGATGCATGTTCGAGGAAGCTGATGAAGGAGTTTTCAACCATTTTCCAACATGGATTATGTCGGTGTACTGCCGTAAGAGCAGAACTTCGGAAGAAACCTAGGGCATAGTTCTGCCTTTCATCCAAAGAGACCCGTACCTTATGCAACATTAGCAACAGTAGATTAGGAGTTGAATCGCGTTTACCAACAGTGAGTTATTATTCCCGCTTACTACTCTCCTTGGGCAGCACCCATAGTTGTTATCACGAAGGCCCACGGCACAATACATATATGTCCTGACTTCTCTGGGGGTCTAAATTCATCTCTGGATCAGCGGCATTATCCCTTGTCCGTCCTCGCAGGTCTGTTCACTATGATGAATGAGGGAACAATTTTCGTAAAGCTCGATCTAGCTGATGTTTATTTTCAAGTGGAAGTCGATGAAGCATCTAAATAGCGGCTGACTGTCAATACCCATCGTGGTTCGTTCCAGTACAACAGTCTGCCATTTGTAGTTAAGACCGCTCCATCCATCTTCCAGCAACTAATGGATACGATCCTGTCAGATATCTCAGGTGCTGCAGCTTATCTCGATGATGTTTTAATTGTTGCGACTACATATGAACAGCTACGAGAACGCACGACACTGGTACTACAACGAATCAGTGACAATGGTTTCCGGTTACGCCCAGAAAAATGCCAGTTTCTATTGCAGTCGTTAAAGTATTTGGGATTCATCTTCGATGCCGACGGTCGCAGACCGGATTCTGCGAACATCCGAGCTACAAAACTGATGCATACTTCCACTAATCTCTCGGAATTACTATCTTTTCTCGGATTATTCAGTTATTATTCAGCGTTTAGTCCTTCGAAGCATGATATTCGTGCTCCATTGAATTGTCTATTGTAGAAGAACGGCACTTGGAATTGAACTGAATAGTGTGACGCGGCTTTTGGTAAATTCAGGTCCATAATAATCTCGGAATTGTTATTAACACACTACGATCCATCCATGCCGAACATCGTAGCAGCAAATGCTTCAGCATATGGCCTGAGTGCTTTTATTTCACATCAGTTTTTAGACGCGTCAGAAGAAGCCTTTATGCATGCACCCCGTACACTAATCCCAGCATAAAAGAAGTACTTCCAGATAGTGAAAGAGGCTCTTGCCCTTCAGTTCGCTGTTCGCCGTATGCACAAGTTTGTGTACGCTCCTCACAGATCACAAGCCTCTGTTAGCAGTATTCGGTTCTCGATCTGGCATTGCAGCCCATTCTGCAAATCGTCTCCAGCGATCGGCCTCGGTGCCTTTGAGGGATGATTTCGAAATCCAGTATCGACGTACTCTACAGTTCGGTCAAGCAGACGCTTTGTCACGACTCAGTAATGAGCAGGTGGCGGCTGTCGTTATGTGACAACGCGAAATGTTATCTTTAAACCGCAATAAGAGCAATAATAAAGACTGCAACAGACATACAAAATGCTTCTAGAAACGATCCCGTCATCAATATGACAATGAAGTATGTCACCACCGGTTGGCCGTCGGAGTTTGATGGTGACATGAAGCGACTGTACCAGCGGAGGGAGTCACTATATATGCATCGTGAACGATTGTTTGATGTTTGGTAAAAAAGTAGTCGTACCAGAATCCTTTTGAGCAAAAGTGCTCAGACATTTCCATCTCAGTCAGGAGTAATGCATACTAGCCTCTCACGAATCAACATGTCACAGCGTTGGTTGAAAAGTGTATGCGGTGTCAGCAAGCTTCCAAGATTAATGCCAAAGTTCCGCCATTTTTATGTCCCAAACCTGAAAATCCTTGATTATGTCGAAACGGTAGTGGACACCAGTCGAAGCGGTACAAATTTTCTTGTACGTCTATCGGACAACACCAAATGAATTGTTACCGGAGCAACAGTCCTCATCCGAAACGCTGATGGAAAGAAGATTGAAAACGATTTTTAGCCTGATGCATCCGACTGATGCACAAACATCCGTGGAGAGAAAGCCACAAAGATAATCTGCTTGCGAAATGGGATGCCCTGTGTTCGTCCGTGACTACCATAGTCCTTGGTTCGAAGCGCGAGTGATCAGAAGAGTTGGTCGAGATATGGTCCGGTCATTCAAATCAAATACGCTGACGGCTAGCCTCATCGACAGCAGAAAGCCTTCCTCTTGACATTTGGCTTGATACCTTCAACATACCGGCACCCCTTTCACCAGAAGAAACTCAGCAGCAAGCTGTTCTTCGTTCCAGAAGGTATTCCCTCAGACAGCGAAGAACGACAGTAAAGATGCATGTCGACCTGGAGAGCATACGCTATTGAACAGGTGAGGAGTTCTGGGAGTGTCAGATCCCCAAAACTCGCCTGTTGAATGCCTAAAATTTGAATTTTACGTTTGTCAGCATGGATGATCAGTTGACCTTGAAATTTCATTTCCAACCACCAAAATCCATGGCTGTGATTGGCTGCTTTGTATTCTAGTTTGCAATTTTTGTGACTGTCGTAAGGACGTTTCAATGATGTATAAATAAACGAGGGTTGTGTTCTTGATTGTATTGTGTGATAAACTTTGCGAATTGGGGATTTAGGTTAGCCTACTTGGACGCTGGTAGTTTTCTCGTTCGTGTTTATCGACTAAGGTGAATTCGTGATAGCTTCAAGGGTACCTTGTGAAGAACGTGACAGTAAATTTGCACACGATGTTCAATAATTTTGTCTAACTTGATTAACGAAATTTCCTCTTTCAATTGGTAAAAAATTATTACTGATATGATAAGGTGAATATACAAAATATCAGAAATATTTACTACATGCCTAAAACTGAGTAATTTCTCGTAGAAGTAATATGATCAAATAAGTTGTCTGGTGATTTATACTCAACAACAATATACTTTGATGTTATGAATCGATCAGTGTTAGAATAATAACGAAATCACGTAAGCATTGAACGGGGGTTTTATACCACCACATGACTCATCAGCAGTGCGAATCTCCGAAATCCGATCGCACGAATCAAACTCAGCTTTTACGGTTCGACCACGGATGAATAGCTCATTGAGGAATTTTCTCCTAGCTTCGTAAAGAAATACTGACCCTGTTCGATTATAAAGCAGTGCATTTCGACGACAATCAGTGAGGTTGCACAAGACTGTAGGATCATTGAAGTTACATAATAACATGGCTTTATGTTTGCGCACTGCTCATGAGTCCCATAATAAGACTTGATGGCCTTCCATTGCTTGCATGTTCCCAAAAGTAGTCTAACATTGATCGATTGATGATTTCAATGCCATCAAAAAAATCGTTGCGACCACGTAGTGAAAAATATATTTTTTGAAATATTTGTCATATGATCTAAAGCTTTAATACATAAAAGAATTCAACGTTCAATTTCTTATGTGAACAAATGTTTGATCTTGTATACTTTTATTATTCAATTCTTTTAGTTTGCATCAATGCAATTTACGCAAATGAATTTTTATTGGCCAATTGGACTTACACTTGTCCAAATATTCAACGTTTATTTTAAATCAAACAATTAGTTAACATGAATATCTCAATTTTGTTAAAATTATTTGTAATTTTGAATTGTGCTGTATTCATTGTTGATGTTTTAATGTTTCAACGAATTGTTAAGTTTATTTCTACCCATATTTGAAATATCCTCTGTTCCATGTATAACTTCACGTAATGAATGCGAATGAAACCGACTGTAAACTGTTTTGATTTATATTTGGATACATTGGTTAACGAACCAAATATTTTAGGAATAACAATAACATTTTAATTTGCATTATCTATTAAGTGATAGGAGACTTGTAAAATAAAGACAATCTCTGGGCAACTATGTCAAACAGACTAAGCAGTTGCACTCCAGAACATCAATGGGCACATCTCAAAGTGAAAACAAAATCTCCAATCTAATTACATCGATCCGGCGTATTCTAAATGGGAAGAAACACTCATTCACGATGACACAGCTAGTCATTATACACTTTTGATGATAAAACTTCGAAACTAACGCTGATACTTAACCAAACAGACTGATCGATTGTAGTTCACTACATCATTGGGATGATCCAATCAACCACTACTAATGAATGAAAATTAGTTGAATTTTTACAGTGAATTAACAATTTGAATATTTTATCAATCATTGTTAGTTGTGGTGCGTGAACGAATCCTTATTAATGGTAGAAAGAAATACTAAGATATATTCTGTTCGGTGAATGATAAACTGAGGATGATTTGTTCCATAAGTGGTCACTTACAAAAACACTGATTCGGAAACCAATGGACTACTGTTTCACCTGTAATATAAGAGACTCTGTAGGAGTATACATATCAAATAAATAAGTTCATATATCGATGAGAGAGAGAGACTAACGTGTGTCAACGATACCAATAATATTATGATGAAAATCAGTTCTAATAATGATGTAAATATTGTATCATTTACACGAGTAAGTGGCTATCTGATAGCTGTAGCTCAGCAAATAATGCGTTGGTGTGTGTAATAAGAAGGATACAATGTTTTAATCACGATTGTAGCTACCACCCTGACGTCGTGATCGAACCTGCTCATCCTAATGACACAATCAACGTACTTTGGATTCCTGTAGGTTCCACCATTCCAGGCAGGTCGATTGGAGAACGGTCAAACTAAAAGCAGCCAGGTAATTTCTGAATTTAATGTCGTGCCGCTGCCAGAACAGAGTTTTGAACACAATAATGTGTTTCCCACGGACAAAAAAATCTTTAACGATGCTTCCTTCTCAGAATGATAGAGGTGATAAAATACAACTTCTCAATAAGAATAATGTGTTTACATGCTAATGTGTATTACTAAAAACTACAGAGTCTGTAAGGACCATCGATTATTAAAATTATGTGTTTAGACAAAACGTTTGCTGGTCGGGGGCCTTAGCTTCATTGTGTACATTAGGAGTAAGTTTTTAAGTTGAAATACGTTTAGTTTACAATAAAATCCTTGTTAATAAAGGTATTCTCAAAGGCTTAGTCGGATTGCAGTGGGATTATCGGAACATGAAATTCAGAATTAGAAAATGAAACTCACAGTTTTACCGAGTGGGTAGGACGAAAAACTACTTTGTTGGATTATTCTCAGCGTTGTTTACTAAAGTTTGTACTCATCAATCTACTGATTATAATTTAAAGTCGTTTGAGAAATCCGGCTTAGTTTCTTCCGTCCATACTTGCATACCATTTATAAAATTAGATCAGTATTGTTTTGTTGATATTCGTCACACTCAGCTTGCTGTCCAGTTTTAGTCGACCCTTACTTTGGACATAAATCTTCTGTGTCCTGCGTAATAATGTTAGGATACTTTTTTCTAAAAAACGTATATTTTTGGGCATGATTAATGACGCGAAATCTGATGTTATTAAATATGTTCTCTAATACAACTGGTTGAAAGTCTCGCTAGCTCTGTTAGTGTACATGCTAAAAATAATTGATAGTCCATCCAGAATTCTAATCATTTTCTGAAACTAGTAACCAGTAAACCAGAAATAACAGATAAGTGCCTCACACTATTCTGCATTATCCAGCTTTTGAACACATTTGACTGTTAAAATGGTACCGTTTCCGACTAGGTGACAGTGGATGATGTGCCTTCAAATCATGTGAGGATTAATAATGGACAACGGGACTGAAGAAACGCCTTGATAATGACAAATGTTAGCTCAGCAATCCATTTGATCTAATTTATCTGGCCTCATAACACATTATTTTGTAAACATAATTTTTATTCAATACTATTGCGACAGACCAAATGTCAAACCTTTAGTTCTATTTCTACCAATGAATTTCCCTGACATTTGCATCTGATTCATAATGAAATCTTCACAGATAATCCCGAAAATGCCACATGAAGAGTTTAATACTGTGAAATGAAAGAAAATTTAGTTTCGCATATACACACACTCAGTACAGGTCGAAATCATGACAACGTGAAGACATACGGGTTCTGTATGGGATGAGTAAAATGTGTAAACAGTTTATGTGCGATCGTTAGGATTGAACGAAACATGGGGATAAATTGATCTTTAAAATTCGTTCGGATCTTAGTAGTCCTGCACTCTCAACAGTTGTATTTTGTGAGAAAGTAACATAACAGGTTTCACAATTGTATGCTATTGATCCACGATTTTATGATTCATAGTTATCATCATTGACTTTGTTACCACAGCTACACTGTTGTATGTCAACATAATAATCCAAGTTATATTTTGTCAGTGGACTTGCAGTTTTCAGTTTGTTAACTGTGCAAGTTCGAATGTTGCAATAAAGACAGACTATAGCTCAGTGTTGTCCTCTACTATATTCTAGCTTTTTTTCAACTCTCATGCAATTTCAGAAATCAGGTGAAAATATTTGACAAGAAGTATGCACAGCAAAACAACAGTGTGTTGTCACATCTTTGCTA